AGACTTCCATTCCAATATAAGGGTTCTGGAAGGCTATTCTTAGCCTTGGTATTAAACTAATGGTATGAACTGACAGTCAAAGGAACAGGTTATTATCACATAATATCCTGTAATAACAGGAATCTTCAGTACACTATATATTTACTACTTTTCATTTTAATGAATACCAAGAGTATATATAGGCCATAAATTATAGGAAAATTATAAAAGGCTACAACCCATAGTCTTCAACATCCATAGGAGAATTTGAACAGATTTTCTTTGTTTTACACATCTACCCTCAGTACATTTATTTAAGTCAATGCATGGGAGAATGCAGGGTTAATAATGAATGCATTCAATTTATGGTTATGAAACGTTTGTTTCTTCACCTCTTTTCCAAAATATCAGAACATTCCATCTTCTAACTGCAGCATAGAAAATTATGAATTTGAAGAGGGCAAATTTATCCAGTTACTTCCCCCCAAAGTGAACAGAAATCCCACAAAGCAGAAAGGATTGTTTGATTCATATGCAAATATATATATATCTTTTCAGGCTCTAGCCATATTGACCCATGGGAAGAAGCCCATTTAGTTCAACAGGATTAGCTTCAGCGTAGACATATATAGGATTGTGTTGTCAATTCTTAATAGACTGCACGGTGCAATTAATAGACTGCATGATGCAATCCTTAAATTATATTTATTGGGCAAGTTTAGGATTGCTGTTGAATATATGAATAGAACGAATCCACTCTGAAGAGGCTGTCTTGCAGACACAATTATTTTAAAGAAAAAGGAAAAAGGAAATGGGAGGAACCACATAAAGCAGTGGTGGCGGACCTATGGCACACGTGCCAGAGGCGGCACTCAGAGCCCTCTCTGTGGGCACTTCTCTGAACTACTGGTGGTGGGCGGTGGAACCCCATGTCGAGGGGCTGGCAGGCTGTGGCTGCTGACAGACACTGTTGGCCTCCATGTGCTCACTGGCCTCTGTGTGCAGGGGACGATGGTGTCAGGCAGTAGCTGCCCCGGCCCCTGCCTTGCCTTGCCCTGAGATAATGGCAACCCCACCCTGCCTCACCTCACCTCGCAGGACGAGCCTCCTACCCACCACCCCACCCACCAGAGACCCCCTGGATCTCTTCCAACCAGCCCGGCCCCCACAGGCGTCCCTCCCCACAAGCAACATCGAGGTGACCACGCCCACCATAGCCACACCCATCCAGTCTGCCATGACCACCACAGCCATGCCCACCCAGTGGGCCACGCCCACCTGGCACCCGGCAATAAATACGTGGGTTTTGGGTTGCAGTTTGGGCACTCAGTCTCTAAAAGGTTTGCCATCACTGACTTAAAGGATAGCAAATGAATAAAACTTTGTGCAGAATCAAAGCTTCCTGCACACTTTCCTTATTTCAACAAGGCAAACTGTCCTAAAATACTTCCATTAAGCCAAACTGAAGCTTCACTATTTTGCTCTCTAACTATTCTGCCTCTACGTTCAGAATTTGTTTTATTTGTGGTTAATTCAGAAATTAGGTTCACAGTTCACCGTGAGATAACTAAAACTGAATAAGGGATATGTTTCAAATATTTGTCACAGAGCTAGGTTCTTCAGGACTATGAATATGTCAATAGGATCTTCAAGATCGGCTTGTACAAATAAATGGACAAGAACTGCAAAGCTGGAGAAAAAAGTGAAATAAAAGGTAACAAAAAGAACCTATCTTCTCTTCGTGAGAACCAAAAGTACAGTATCCTGAATATAACATGCATGAGGTCATGGGCTAAGTGGGATGGATTTTGGGTGGGGTGGGGGAATTGGTCTTGTTATCAAGGCTGCTGTTATTTTTTCTTACTGTTGCATGATGCACCTGCTGCTAGGGAATTAAAGATCTTTTACTTGTTCTGGCTAGCTCATGGTCATCCAGCTAGTCTTGTGCCAAAGGTAGCACCAGAACACATGGTCTCCCATTTCTAGTCTGGTGCCTTAACCATTACACCAAAAGGGCTCTGATTGCTACTGGTAGCTTCATTTAATTCCTTTTGAAGCCATCTAGGCCACACATTCCACTCTATTTTATGGCAGGAATTTGGTAATTATACAATGCATGCAGTGCTTTCTTTTCACTGCCTTGAATCTATTATTATGGTCAAATTGAGAAACTTTTAACTAAACATTGTCTCCACTTAAAGCAGTGGTTCTCAACCTTTTTAATGCCGCGACCCCCAACCGGTCGTAAGTCGAGGACTAAACCGGTCGTAAGTCAAGGACTTTCCCTGCCCGGGAGCGCCGCACATGCGTGGTTCCGCCCCCTCGCCGGCCGAGGCGTAGCTGGCAAGCGGCAGAGACGGAGCAGGCCGACCACCAGCTGGCCCAGCCCAAGGGAGGTAAGGCACTCGCCAGAAAAGGGGAAAAAAATGACGGACAGCCTTGCTTGGCGACCCCCATGAAATGGTCGATCGACCCCAAATGGGGTCGCGACCCGTAGGTTGAGAACCGCTGACTTAAAGCAATCTAAGGCAGTGGTCCCCAACCTTTGCGGCTTGGCGGCCCGGCTGTGGAGGGAAAGAGGTATCGGGCCATGTGAGCGGCAGCCTGCCGCACACACACCTGCAGTTCGACTTGTGTGAGTTTGTGGTGTGTATGCGCGCGCCAGCGCGCCACTCGTGTGGCCTGGTTCTGAATAGTGGTAGTGGGCCATGGCCCAGGGGCTGGGGGACCCCTGATCTAAGGTCCTAAGCCTGCTGCATCATGTGATTTTCTACTTAGTAACCATGGCACTTACTGATCAAGTTGCTGGTGCCAACTGTGGTCACCAGGCAAGAACTAGCTGTACTCTGGACAAACTGGGGAGCAATAGAATACTGTAGGAGAAATGAGAATTGTTAAACATTATTTTCTTCTCTACCTCTTTCTGCTAACAAAAAGACACAGTTGATGGAACACACTAGCTGAATTCCATTTTTTTCATTTCATTTGTATAAATACAAATGAAATACTCCAATGTTATTGCAGCTTTATTTCTCTTTCTCTTTTAATGTTGGATGGCACGATTTCAGAGTTAGGCCAATATTCCTATTCTCTTGTTTATTATTGTTGTTAATTGTTATAGTTAATTATCAGTTCATCAGAGTCATTCTATTTTCCCAGTGCAATAGTACAGAATACATAACAAAAAATTCAATCTATATTATGGGTATGTAGGTATAAATTGTCAAAAGTTAAATTCTACCTTGCATTCTTATTCTGGCATGTGATAGAAATTCTACACAACTTAGGAAAGCTTTTCTGACAGTGGGAACAATTAATCAATGGAATAGCTTGCTTCCCAGATTTGTGGGTACTCCTTCACTGGAGGTTTTCAAAAATAAACTGGACAACCATTTGACCAGGATAGTATAAGATGTCCTGCCTAGAACAGAGGGTTGGATTGGAAAACCAAGGTCCCATCAAACCCTGTGATTCTATATTATATGCTCTAATATGGGTACACAACTAGTTAACATGGGCTGGAAATACATACTAGCAAGGAAATATATACTAGCATATTAACCATCACTTGGTAGCTCATTTTTTTCTTGCAGCAGCAGAAATAAACATGCTTTTACTAGCATGAACCCAAAAGCAAGAAGTGATCTATCAAATGACTACTTGTAAACATATTTTTTTTACAGGTCAACGTCTGCACTTTCAAGGAGACACAAATACAACTATAAGCTTCCTATTTGTTTTTGAATTTCAGATATAAATCAAGTTTTTATTAGAAACTGAATATTTTAAAAGATTGAGAGCCACTTATCCAAAGATGGAAAGAGTGCCTACTTCATAATGATTTCGCTTTTTAAAATCAGCAAATCAGTGCATATAAGGATACTGCAGTCTCTCATGACCATTAAGATACATTTCAGAGAGTATTATCCTGATTTTTGTTATTAAGCAATTAGAATATTATTCTAAGGAAATTATTAATCCTTGAAAATTGTTCCAATGCATAATCAGAACATTTACAATCTACTCCAATAGTGCAATCAATCATATTCCTGTAGACAGGCTATGCCAGAGTTTAGACAGACAACTTACGAATTGCTTTAAATTTATATTCACATTTGCTTTATTAAAGAAAAAGTATCCAAGTTCATCAGAAGTCTCCTCTTTCAAACTACTACAATCCATAGCTTTCAATCCAACAAAAGTTTAGACTTTGCGATCAAAGAGACACATTAGCTGCAACTGTCATTCCAAACCTATACTTATCTAACAATAAGTCTTTAATGGAAGTCCAAGAATAAATTACACAAGTCTATGAAGGCAACCCCTCCTACAAGTCATATCTGACTCCTGCTGATTTCATAGATACATTATTCCATGTGGGATTTTTGGCAGCAATATGGAAGCAGTTTGCCACAGCCTTCTTCCCTGATGGTTCTTCCTTCAACTAACCAACTCCAATCCTGTTTAAATTTCGAAAATCAGCTATTTATACTAAACATAAATTCTGTTGATGGAACAAGATGTATCCCATTGGTATATCTCACCGATCACTCAAACTTTAAATAACCAGACACTGATCAAGATTTGCAAACTTCATTTCAGATTAAAGCATATATTCCGTTTATGAAGTTACAGGAAACTTTCGTCCATATACAATAATTTCTACAGTCAGGATGGACTACAAGTAACAAGAAAGCATGCTTAAGATATAATTACAGCAGCAAATTTAAAGCAAAACTCTCATCGTGGGGAGAGTACATCACTGTTCCTTTTGTTGTACTGGCTTTGGATTTTTTTCCTGACAATTAGTAAACTTGGAAATTCTAACCCGAGTTTCTCTAAAATAATAGCATTACTAAATAAAGGAGAAAAACTTAATCGGGTCCTTCCTGCTAGACAGAAAAGCTATTATAACTCAGGACGGAAGTCAGTTTTCAAGCGTGCAAACGAGGCATCCGCTTTCCTTGCGTGTGAAATCGCTTCTCACAGTCGGTTCTGAGACAGTCACAGATTGCACTTACCCATGAACAGCCGCAGCATACCAACAGCACCCCTGGGCGCCGCCATTTTGCATAAACGTCAGTCACGTGGGAACAGTGTTACACTCCCACCCGTGTCCGCAACTGAGCCGGGAGACGACGGCAATTTAGCGAAGGGAGCAAAACGCGCGCGCGAAGGGGAAAAAGGGGAGGTGCCGAGAGGAAGCCGCGCCCTTCCCCGGCTGTTGCTCGTCTTAGCTTTCACATGATTGCTTGATGAGCAAAGAGCGCGAAGTTTTTTTTTTTCTTCAAAAGGCAACTTGGACTTTTCTTGGGTGAAGGCATTTCCGCTTTTCGGAAGATCTGAAGAAGCTTCTTGGAGAAGAAGCGAAACGTCCTCAAGGAAAACCCAAGAAAGTCCAGTTGCCTTTTGAAAAAAACCAGCTATTTATACTAAGGTTGTCCTTTGGGACAACCATGACCTGGATGATTGAGAATCTCCATAGATGAAGAGGAGAGAAGTGAACTGCGATAGCAGGATGCTTCCCTGCAGAGAAAAGACAAACTTGGGTTCCTGTATATACGGGAACATTGTTACCAACTCTGAAATGTATTCTTTCCCTTTCCGTCAAGATTCCTGTTGGAAAAACGCACATAAAACTCCTGCCTGCCTAAAGACAAAAGGGTTTGCGGACTATAGTGCTGCTGTAGTGCAAGCCAGCAGCATCCCTTGGGGGATGTAGAAAAAGATGCTTCGGTATCTTTTTCTCCTTGCAGAAAACCTTGAAATGTTCCAATACTCTTGGTTTCTTAGGACAAATCAGAGCCCTTTTTGAACGGGGGGGGGGGGGGAAGAGTGCCAATGCAAGCCATATCTGCAAGCCGAGATATGTCTCAACTACGTCTTTTAAGGGTTCTATTGTGACGGCTCAATCCTTTCCAATTATGAAGGCGCGAAATGTGCAGCTGCCACTTCTTAGCCTGCTCTAGCCCGCCCCAAATCACCCTCACTGGGGACTCAGCCACCTGCCTCGCTTCGGGCACCCCTTGAAATTCTTCATCTTTTTATCCACAAATGGGATGTGGAGCCCTCTCCCCCCAAAAAGGCAACAAGTGAAAATATGGTGCTGGTTTTTTTCACTAAATGTTTAACCATATGGCTCCGAGCAGTCCCAGTTGGCGGCCTCTAAATATCTGGGACTGCTGTATTTTTCCCCATATAATATACAGGTAGTCCTCGACATACAACAGTTCATTTAGTGACCAGTTACAACAGCACTGAAAAAGTGACTTATGACTGTTTTTCACACTTACGAACATTGCAGCATCCCCGCGGTCATGTGATCAGAATTAAGATGCTTGGCAATTGATTCGTATTTATAATGGTTGCAGGGTCCCCGGGTCACGTGATCCCCTTTTGTGACCTTCTGACAAACCAAGTGATTGGGGAAGCCAGATTCACTTAACAGTGTCACTAACTTTACAACTGCAGTGATTCACTTAACAACTGTGGCAAGAAAGGACGTAAAATGGGGCAAAATACACTTAACAAATGTCTCGCTTAGCAACATAAATTTTGGGCTCAGTTGCAGTCGTAAGTCAGGGACTGCCTGCAGTACTGGTGTTCCAAATACATGAAGATCACGATTATTGACAATTGATTGATTTAAGAGCCAGTTTAGTGTAATGGCTAAGGCATCAAGATTAGAAACAGGAGGCATGCCAGCTGAGTGATCCTGAGCAATCAGAGCTGTAGGTATCAGGCAACAGCAAACCACTTCCAAAAAATCCTTGCCAATAACACAGAGCTAGTCCAGGTAGTTTGCCAATTATCACTGCATGATGGATTTCTGTACATTCTCCTGTCATTGCCACAGAAGTTTTGAAGTTGCATTTATTGATGTTGTGTATTCCATCTTTCTGGGTGATACAGACTGCAAAGCAAATGATAACATGCAAAATGTTATTAGAGATTAAAGTACCATATGTATTTGTGTAGAAGTAAGCTGCCACAAATGTATTAATACCAGGAGAGCAGAAATAATTAAAATACATTGAATTACAGATCATCAGCGGGTCTACAAACTTTTTTTTAAGAGTATCTGAATTTAAGCTTTTGTTCTTGAGCAGGGACCTTCAAACTTGGCCCTTTTATGACTTGTGGACTTCAACTCCCAGAATTCCTCAGCCAGCAAGACATAAAAGGGCCAAGTTTGAAGAGCCATTCTTGAGGGTGAAGTTCCACACTCACATGGCTACAACCAAGAAACTGTCATTCCTGCTACTCTGAGGGATCTTACTAGGAAGATGAGGCATCTGAAAAGGGTCTCTGTTGTCAAATTACCAACCAAATTACAAATGAGTTTAAGTATATTAATTGCCACATTTTGAATTGAGACCAGAAATATACTAAGTTTGTAGCTAATAGCTTGTTAATTAGCTGATTCTGATAAAAGCTCAATGTCTCCCACCCACTAATAAAATTGGAGCTCAGTTCTACAATTGTCATTCTATACCTTTCTGCTTCCATAACTTGACTTCTGTTTTCTATATGATTACAGGTAACAAATATGAGATTAAACAAATAGCTGTGCCGTTACTACATCTAGTTTGAGGTCTTATACAAATGCTGGGAAAGATAGTTTGGACAGCCCTAATTAAACAAAAGAATAATTACCTCCACTGAATTTTTAAATAGTCTGTGTAGCATTTGGTTGCTTCAATACCAGCAGATATTGCTTCAATATCAGCAGCAGAAATATAATTCCCCCTTACTGTTCCTTCTGATAATCCAACAAATTGGATTTGTTGGGAAAAAAAAATACAATTTGGAAGTTTTAATTTCTTGAGAACATCCATATTCAGCTATTCTTTTTTCATGAGGGTTTATACTTGCTGCATTAAAATTGGTTGCAGCTAAAGCATGAGCACAGTAGCTATATGGAATTAGGACCATCCAAAATAATTTTCCAAGTTACCTGCTGCATCTTGAATGCAGTACTTTGGCAGAAAGCAGGAGTCAATAAATCTGAGATCAATATTTATCCAGTAAACCTGGATAAATATTTTTACTTATTGGATGACACTTTTCTGCAACTGTATTGGATTGGTCCACCTAACATTGGCAGATAATTTCAAATACTCCTGGGTAAAAAGCAATCCAAACGAAATTAAATTATGGCTTTTCCAGTTCTGCTAATCTACCATTTTTCAAGCTAAATTAACTTTAAGACAAGGATTTGACATAGAAGGTCAAGCAGAATCTGCTGCCCTCTCATGGGATGTATTTATAAATACTGTTAACAGAATTTTAGTTCCCAAATGCAGTTCATATTTATACCAAATCTCATGGATTTAACTCATGGAAAGTAATAAAATTGTAATACTATCTGTGATCTGTGAGCTTCAGCCACAAATGGTCACTAACAGTCATTAAATGTAGTTAGGTGCTAATTTTATTCAGTTTGGTACACCAATTCATAATAATTTGTACTTTTAGGCATTAGACCCATTAGAATGACTAAGACAGAGACTATACATTTTTGGGGGGCTACTTTAGGTTTTAGTCTTTAAATTCCCCACCATGCCTTTCTATGTCGCACCTAAAGTTCTGCATGATAGTCAAACCATTAGTATTATGTTGTAAAATACTGTAGATTTTAGTGATTTGGATCATGAATCCCAATATTCTCAAAGGTGAGAGAGGGCTTGCAATTTTTATTGTTCTGGAGTCCTTTGGTATTTCCTGGCCTATCTGATATTATGCCGTTGGTGTGACTTTGACAAACAGCCACACTTGGAAAGATTCACTGTTATCCCAAACCATGACATTAGAGAAACAATTATTAGAGAAATAATTTATTAACTAGAGCTGATAGGCAGGTAATCTTTTTTTTTTAACAGAGATTTGTGAGTATTTCTTTTCAGCAGGGGTGCAACCTGTCTCTGGAATTTGTATAGAGACAATTTCACTGTGATAAGATGAACCAAAGTCTGATAGTTTATATAGAGCAGGATTGGTCCAAATCAGACTTGATTGTTTAATGAAAAAGATTCATAGCTGATATTAGCTTATCCTTTATTTATTATTTTAACTTTTTAAAAGTAACTGTTAACTGCTTTCATATTTTTAATTTGAAGCGTTATATAAGTGTTTTAAATAAATAAATCCACTTTCCATTCATGGGATCCAATTTCTGATGCAAGCCATGTTTTGTTTTACTCATTATTACTGAGCATAGTTTCACAGAGTATTAATATATATGCCATTGTACTTTGGTATCTTGTTGCATCATCTCAATTGGTAAGCTAGATCTTACACATACTATGCAGGGATTCAGACCAGTTTTGCTAATGCTTGTAATCTACTTTCTTTATTTCAGCAAAGTACCAGCAGACGAGGTACTGGTTTTTTAGAATCTACAACACAAAAATATAAAAAATCCAAAATACAGAAAACCACAGTCATTTCGAAAGTGATTAAAATGTCACATGAAATTTTGCAGTGGAGCAGTGATCATGAATATATTTCACAATGCAATAGGCAGAAGTTTGCATGTTTCTTATAGAGAATCCTCAGGACTGAGCAAGTCGTTCTAGGACTCGTCGATAATCTGAAATAAGTTGCTGGAACGTCTCTTCCAATTGTTTATGTTGTAAATTTATGTCTATTTGGTTCAACTGATTGGTCAACTCTTCTGGTCTTAAACATCTTCTCATCTTGGCAATCTCTCTCTGCTTTTTCTAGAAAACAAAGGATTTACACATATGAAGAACATTACCATATTTCACCACCTCCAGCAGGTTCATTGGCACTGTGATGAAATGATAGATTTGTATCCTACTAAAATAAATTAAAGGTTAATTGGAGATTTCCTTACCAAGAATGGAAGAAGAAAGCTAAAAGAACTTGGAGAAGGGATATTCAGACAAAATAAAAAGAAGGAAAGAAAGTTGGCATTTGGGAAAGTCTAAGTGGTGGACAAAGTGTTCATTAACTCTTTCCCTTCATAATAAATTCAAATTTTAAAAAAATGATAGAAAAGCCACCTTATATGGGCCCATCAATCTTCTTTTTACATCCAATCTATAACTTCTGGATTGTTCTGCATTACTCATGTCTGTTGCATGTAACCGGAGAATTTCATAAACTCGCCGTGTATGTTGCTAAAAGGAAAAACATATAAAAAGAATTGGAATTATTGCTCCCAATGTGCAAAGTTAAAAATCTTGCCTACTATCTTTTCTTCTTGACTACTGTTTCCATTCCTTAAATTTCAGCAGTCACTGTACAATTCATCATATTAGCTTTAATCTATCCTCCTTTTTCAAGGACCTAGCTTTCTCAAATCTTATTCATTTATACCACTTATGTACCACCTAACCTACATAACTCCAGGTTGTTTAAAACAGTATGATTAATATATAAAACTCAAACATATCAAAATCTAACCTCAGCAACAGATATAAATTGTGAAAACATGGCAGACCATCCACACTAAAGTCCGGATTGAAAAGTGGCACATAAAATTCTAATATGCAAATAAATAATTCTGGGAGAGCGGATGAGGTGTATGTTACAATTTACTCTCACATTTTCATTCTAGGTAAAATATTTATTTTCATTTTGCAATCTGTAAGTTTCAAATAGTTGAGCCTTCTGAACCTTTTTTCTCCCTAGAAAATTGGTGTCCTAAATTCCTCAAAGGTTTTATTGAATAGCTATATAAAAGTCAGATCTCAACAACAATTTAAAATTGACTGTTGGTAACCAATACAATATTACCATGAGCTTGAAAAGTAATATCTTGACCTAGAAACATTGTCTAAAAATTCAAAAAGCTACCTTAAAACCTGTTGGGTTTGCAGAATCTATCAGTAAAAGAAGATGTATTATACTAAATAGTTTTCAAAATAATAACTATTACCCATAGTTTTAGTTTCAATGTAGTCCTTCTGTAAATGAAATGTTTCATCTAAGGGCACTTTACAGGAAGTCCTAGACCCAGAGCCATTTGTTCGGTGACCATTCAAAGTCACAACAGCACTGAACAAATGATAGCTATAACCAGTCCTCAGAATTCTGACCATCCTAGCACCCCTATGGTCATGTGATTACAATCTGGGGCACTTGGCAAGCAGTTCACACGACCAGTTGCAGCGCTCTACAATCACATGATCACCATTTTGCAATCTCCCATGCTGACTTACTCAAAAAGTCAATTGAAAGCCATCAATCAGGGAAAGTCACAATTCAATGGGATAAGTATCCCCCACCTGCTCATCCTCTGCACTTGCGCTGCAGTCGTGAGCCCCATGCACTCTTCCCAGCCCTTGTCAACGCCTTCCTCACGCTCTCACTGACTCGGGCCATGACTCTTGCATACCCCATGTACCTTTCCTGACCTGTGGCTCTTGTGAACCCACCCTGACCCTCCCCGCATCTCATTCTCTCCCCCTGCTTGCTAGTCTGGGACATACAACTTCCTGCCAGCTTTCCCATTGACTTTGGTTGTAGGAAGCAGGCAGGAAGTTGCCTCACCTAATGATAATGTAACAGGGGCAACTGGGACTGTAAGAATTGCTGTCCCTAGTGATGACATCAAGCTTAGCAACAGAAATTCTGATGCCAATTGCCATCATAAGTCGAGGGTTGCCTATACCTCTATCATTCTACATTCTCTGCAGCTGCAAATAAATAAAATCCTATTTAGCAAAGTCTCATGTTGGATATAGAATATTTCTTCAAATAGGACACCAATTTGCAAAATGTCAGTATTGGATACATTTAAAATATTATCAATACCTTATTTACTTTCAGCTTCTGTTGAGCTTCTATTACCATATCTTGAGTGAAGCCTTGCTTAAGATTCTCTGGAGAAAAGCAGGGTAAATCTTGACACAATTTTACTAATACAAAATCTCGTAATTTCACGTAGCTTTCAGATGGATCTTCAGCTAAAAGAAGAAAAGACAAAGGTTAGATTTGTAACCATGAATTAATACTACAAGACCATTCAACATAGTTAAAGAAACACCCACGATTCTCAATATACCCATATCCAGGCCTGAAAATATTCCATAGCTGCTGTCAATTAAAAAAAAAAATCCAACAAATCTACCAACAGGCTTGCTTAACATTCTCATTCAAATACCCAAAATACCTTCATTGCTTTATGAAAGTGGTGGGGGTTGGTATTGTTCCAGCGGGCAAGTGGAACAACACAAGAACAAACAACAAACACAAGCAATTGGAGATTAGTGGACTTGCAAGTAACCTGGTCCTTTACAGGCAATAACGAGCCTTTTGAACTGCACTTGGAAGCTCAGTGGAAGCTGGTGCATCTGGAACCCACTGGAAACTACTGCAGCTCAAATAGCAGGCAAGAATGTATTATGAAATGTCTGGAATTGCTGAAATGCTGCATCCTGCTGCATTCTGGGCAAGTTGCATCTTCTGAATACTTTTCAAGGGCAGACCCAAGTAGAGTATATTACGGTAATACAAATGGGAGGAGACTGAAGCGCACCTCCCATTTCTATTACCATGAGCAGTGCTTCCTCATATAGAAAACCCATTGGAGTTGGACAGCTAATAAGTCCAAATACTGGTAGTTTTCCTTAATGAAGCCAATTGGGACCAGAAACTCCATTAAGAGACATGGTTGTGAGTTGAAAAAAAACCACGTGACCACACTGTTTAGCGGTGGCAGTTCTGGCACTCCTGGTTGCTGTCATTAAGTAAGAATACCAAATGTGACTTTCTGCCAGCTTCCCCATTGACTCGGCTTGTTGGAAGCCAGCAGGAAAGGTTGCAAATCATGAACACATGACCACGGGGAAGTTATGACAGCCATAAATATGAGGACCAATTGTAACTGCCACTTGTTCAGAGCCATTCAGTACCAAGTTCAAATGGTCACTGAATGGTTAAACGAGAACCACCTGTAAATCTATAAAAAGCTGTGCAAGGCCTCTCCTGGCCACGGCTGCCAGTTGCTCTTTGAGCAGAACCATTATCTCGATAAGACCTCCAAACTGCACACCAGTTCTGTCCGAGGAAATGATGGAAAGTTTCTAAATCCAACCCTCCCCATAGCTACCCAGTTATGCCAGACTGAGCTGAAGCCTGTTCTTCTCCATCCAGGCCTTCACAGCCTTCAGACACTAGGAACTCCAGACTCAGCAGCGTACTGGTGATACTATACTTTGTCTCAATGGATGACTACATCTAGTAGCTTCGTTTAGCTGTTAGGAATAGAGAATTTACAGTCCTAAGGAACCCCACAGAGCAGAGGCTTCAGGCTCAACCTCTTTTCCCTATGGCCTTGGAGAAAGGAGAAGAACCACCATAACACTCTGTTTCCCTGTATCAAGAAGGGCCAGGACAGCTCCACTATTTCCCAGTTCCCAGCACAATGGAAGAGTTCCTAACCTCACTTCAAAATGTTAACTCTTTGCAACATACTTAACCCTCCTCAAAATCTATTCTGAGTCCTGCAAGCACATATCCAACCCTGGTACTGCCCCGCTCCAAAACAAAGAACACTTTGAATGTAAATTCATACAACACGTTTCAAAAATCATAGATTGTAAAAACTAGCTCCCATTTTTCTCTTCTGAATATTCCAATAATGACTCAGATACAGTAATATCCCATTTCATTCTACATGCATCACATCTACTTCCTACATTTTAGTTAGCTACATGTAACGCAAACAAGTATACATACATCATGCTTATATTACTACACTCTCAAAGACTCATAATGATTTGCAATATAAATACAAGCACAATCAATAAAACAATGTATCATAATACAAGTGTCATTCTTAGGCATTTGCAAATGACAATGATCTTAACCATTAAAACATTTTTAAATAAATGTTTTCAAGATTATTCTAAACACTGGACATTAAATGAATTTCTAGTCTATATCCCACCAACCCCCAGAGTCTTATCTTTGCATATCTAACTTTTCATATATATATATATGTATACATCCATATTTGATAATGAAAGCCATGAATTTTGAATAATTTTTTGATTTCTCACAGGTTGATTTAATAGGCCACTGTAATCCCTTGTGGTAAAGAAGCATTTTTCCCTAATATATTTTTTGTTACTTAAAGGTACTATGATCAAGCTTGTCATGCTTCAGTGGAAGAGATTTTTATTCATCCTTATAAGGTTTATCCCATCTCATACCAGGATTACCCAAATCAATCCAATTAATACATTTTTTAATTTTTTGTTAAATTATATCTCCCAATTCTGGACTCTCTCAGTCTATGAACAATGAGATGAATATTAAGCTTGGACTGTTATAAAAAAGTGTTTATGGTTTGATCAATTCTATTATGTTGATTTAATTAAATTTGCCAGTTTAAATTAACTGAATCAAAAGAGGCAAAATTACACAATATAATTCACTAAGGCATAATAAATATATCTAATATTTCTTAAAAACTGAAGCCACTACTCCATTCTTTGCTCCAAAATTATTTTTGTGTAAAAAGATGTTTGGTCTCAGTAAAGACCTCTCATGTATGTTCATTGCATCCAAAGTTTCAGAAGCCATGAAGGCATTGGGACCAGAGAATGAATATAAGAAATATGCAACAGCCTGAATTTAGCTATAGCAGTGGTGGCGAACCTATGGCACGCGTGCCAGAGGCGGCACTCAGAGTCCTCTCTGTGGGCATGCTCGCCATGCCCCGGAGACGGCAACTGTCCCTCTTCAACCAGCCGCCCACTAACTGGCCGAGGTCCCACATGGCTGGACGCATCCCAGCACCCATGCGCTCGCTGGCCTCTGTGTGCAGGGGCCGATGGTGTCAGGCAGCAGCCGCCCCGGCCCCTGCCTCACCAGCTTGGCCTGTGACAATGGCACCCCCGCCCTGCCTCGCCTTGCCTCACCCCGCAGGACGAGCCTCCTGCCCATCGCCCCACCTGCCAGAGACCCCCTGGATCTCCCCAAAGCCTGCCCAGCCCCCACAGGCGTCCCTCCCCACAAGCAACATTGAGGTGATCACGCCCACCTTGGCCACACCCACCCAATCTGCCATGACCCCACAGCCACGCCCATCCAGTGGGCCTTGCCCACCTGCACCGAGCGATAAATAAGTGGGTTTTGGGTTGCAGTTTGGGCACTCGGTCTTTAAAAGGTTCGCCATCACTGAGCTATAGCTTTCTGTTGGCTATTCATGTATTCAAATAAACACTTTGCGCTTTTGCTGATAAGGAAAAGATGGGAAGAGAGAGATTTAGTTTTATACAGGAAATGTTCCCATAGGGGAAAGAAGGAGGGGCCACAGATCCTACACTGGCAGTAGATGCATTATCTTAAAAATGTAAGAATTGGGGAAGAACTTGAAAGATAAATGAGGTAAAATTAAAAAAACAAAAAACAAAAAAGTGAGCTGTGAAACCTGACTTAAATTGGGTAGTAGTTACATGGAAGCCTTGTTGATTTGAAGATAAATCCAGAGAAGAATGCTGGAGATCCAAAGAGGAGGGCGTGTTGCAGGATGTAGTTGTACTTGTACAGACAGATGAGCCTCCTGAGGTAGAAGAGCGTGGAAGATCAAAGATTTTACCAACTGGAGTAGAACCAGCTGGCAGCCAGACTCACAGAAGGAAAAATTGCTCCCAGTATTTGTAAGTCTGTCCTAAATTCTAAATTATGTAGTAAGCAGTGCTCATATATATTAAATCAACATTATAGAGTTCATATGCATTCCAGACAGAAAATACGTATGTCACATAATATTAAGCAGAGAGAAAAGATTAGGTCACTCTGCAATTCAGAACCTCAACCAGCTTATGTTTATCTAGAAATGGAAAAGAGGAGGGGGATTAGCAGAAATGGCTAAACTGATTTGTCTGGCCATGGATAAAACAAGTAATTTTATACAAGACTGGAAACCTTTTATGGACTTTTCCCCCTCTGAAAATGAAAAAAAGAATGAAATGGTGATTTCTTTGATTATCCCTTTTCTTTTTCTAGCTGCGCTGTTTTTTAAACTTTTTCTTTTACCTTTCTTCTTTTTTCTAACTTATTTATATATTTTCATGTTTATCTATTAGCTATGTTAAAATCTTCATAAAATTTATACTTTTTTAAAGAAAAGCACAGGTGGGAGGGCCCAAGTTTAACATTTCTGGATGTAAATAAACTTGCTATAAATCTACAAAGGAGTGCAATTAGGAAATCAAGACTAGATTTCTTAACAAAAGTAACTTGCTTGCTTTTATGTCTGGCTTTTTGAATAAAAGAAAAAAATAACCTGAAATAGTTTATAACGAGTTCACCTTTAAAATCTTGAAAATCTACAGGAAGCCCTTGTGACAAAGCAAGAACTTTCCAGGATAGTAACAATGCTAAGTAATAAAACCATTTTCTTCCCTAAGCATTAATGTCAGGAATTTATCTCTTTCGATACTATTAAGTTAAGGAAGCTAGGCTGTATGAAATGGTGCAATTCTGTTGACAGAATAATATACAGGAGCGCAACACATTCCTCTTCGTGCCTGTGCTTTCAAAAGATTGAGGGGTAGTAGGGTACCAATACAGGTTCGAACATGAATGAGGAAAAAAAAAAAGGAGGATTTTGTTTGTGTAATGCCAGATACCACCATTCTCACTACAAGTCAAACTCAAGAGAATTTTAGATTGCTCAGGTAGTTCTTTCCTTATACCAAAACTACGTTATATATCGTGCGTTGAAGCTCTCAATAAAAAAATTGTTCCCTCGAACTGCTAGAATTTAATCAAAAGGTTAACCAACCAGCTTATCAATAACTACTTTTCAAATGCAACTATCTTGGGTATCTCCTTTAGGTTGATGCATTTTTTATGTAACCACGTGATATCTTTCAATATCATCTCACTTTCATAATTTTCTATCCTGTTCCCATTTGTCCAACCCAGTTGTCTTTTAACAGCAGCAATGAGACATAGATGAAAAACAGAGATCCATCTCTCCATTTCAGGCTCCTAGTCAAAAACAGCATGTTCCCTAGCAAATTATTCTACAGGGCAATTTAATCTGTTTTAGAGTACTTTTACTGAAGAAAATACGCATCACGCTCCATGTAATGAGGCAAGAGCCCTGTTTTGTCTGCTACAGTATTGTACTGGCAGTTCCATTTCTATGTACTGTAAGTAACACAGTAAATATGTATCTTATAAAAAAATTCAGATAGAATTTTTAAAATTGACATTTACATTATCCTTAGTAAATGGTATGGGATGTGTGGATGACCTTGAGGGACAAGGGAAAGAGGCTAGGGAACAATCAGACAGGAGAGAAAGAAGCCTATAGTCACTTAACACTCAGAGAAAGAAACTTAGGAAAGAAACACCCTAAAAGGGGCAAGGGAAAATTTGTAACTTCAGACTTACACAATTCTGTTAATGTAGTCTTATGATAAGACTTCATTAAAATAGATTTAGTACACTTAGTTGTGTTTCCTGTCTGGTTTACCCTGGAGGGCTGATAAGCACCAGCTAGGGCAGTATTTTTTTTTTGTGTGTGTGTGTGTGTGTGTAGGGTGATAAAATGGTATCATGTGCGATGTTATATGGCTTTTATAAATGAGACTGAAGTTCAAGTACACATATGCGTTAGCCATTCAGGTATATGTCTAAATTAATTACATTATTTAACGGTACCTGAATCTTTCTGTGTTTTTACCATGCCACCATCAAATGGGAAGCAATTTTTAAAATTTAGAAAATTGCCGTACAGCTTAGATGCAATATACAAATGTCACAGGTTTAGTTTTTCTAAGCACATTCATTCAACTGCATAAAAGGCACATAATGTGACTGAAGATTTACACGGTAGTGATTTGCTTTCAATACACTTAATGCTACCAGCATTTCTTTCCCCACCACTATCCTGCCATCAAATATAATCCCTCACTGATTTGTAAGGAATATGTTAAAATACACATTATAATAAGGTTGCGTAATACTTCAGACTGAAAGGCAAAAAGGTGACTTGGAGCATGCAGAGGCACCAATGTACCACCTGTACCACCTGCAACCCCTAAAACCAAATATATCTTTTCCCAAGACTTTTCAGCAGCTGCGGGGAGCAGACATGCAATCCCAGAAAGAGACACAGCTGCTTTGAGTTGCAGACGAGTGCTATATAAGAACCCTGCCCACTCCAAAACACCCCTTTAAAGGCCTTTGAATCCAAAGCATGGCACAGCCCCACGTTATAATACAAGAATGACCCTGTGGGTTTTGAAAAGTGGTTTGTGAAAGTATATCAATTTTGGTTTAAGAAACACAAAACTTGAAAGTATACAAAAACCATTTATAAAGGCTATGTCACGCTTTCAATGTAGCATAAGAACAAATATGAGTTCAAATGAATTAATATACAGGATACCAAAGAGCTTTAATCATTGCCCCTTTCACAAAAGGGCCTTGGATCTTAAACATTTAAAATAGTTTTATGACTGTCCCCTTCTAATGGCTTCTTCTAAAAGACAGGGACTTATAAAAAGATGTGAAATATGGCAAAATCTGCAGCAGAAAGAATAACTGGCAAGGAGATAAGAGTAGTCACGCAGCGAGATAGGCCACAAATAAATTTAACAAATAAATAAATAAAAGGAACCTATGGATCCATGTAAATATAATTTATTTATATTTATTTTGCTAACATATCATACTCTTTTACTATATATGTATAGAGCAGGGGCCCCCAACTTGTGGGCCGTGGCTTATTGGCCACTGGGCTGCGTGAGTGGCTGGCCGGTGTGGACATGTGCACGTGGGCATTCGTGGCCCCATTCATGTGAGCGTTGCTGCGAGCATCACAGGTGTTTGCACCCAAACTCATATGAGTGTCCATGGCCCCATTCACACGAGTGTTGATGGGAGCATTGTGGGTGTTTGCGGCCCCACTCGCGCAATGGGTGTTTGTGCACACATGCATGTGTTCACCCCCCACAAAACCATCCCTACTTCCCCCTCCCCCGCTCTGGGCTGCCAACCCTGAAAAGTTGGGGAACTCTTGTATTAGGGGGTAGTCTTCTTTACGTTGCATCAGAAAACAATGGCTTGGAGACTAACCTCCATGGAAGCACAGAGCATGGGTCCCCAACCTCCAGTCAAGAAACCGGTCCGTGCAAACAAGAAAAGCCCACTCCGCGGGATGCAGGCAGCATGCGAAAACAGGCCCCCTCCGATCCGTGGGAAAACTTCTCTCCACAGAACCGGTCCCTGGTGCCCAAAAGATTGGGGGCAGCTGTATTAGAGTTTTCTGCTCAAACTATATATTTTCTTGATTGAAATGAGGATGAAGCAATTTCTACCACATTCCCTTACTCCCTATGATTTCTTTGATGTGGAGTGACTGCTTCAGACAGTGAAGTAAAGGGGCAAAAGTCAATAAAGATTATTTTCCCTCTTATGTTTTGGATAAAAATAGTAGAAATGTTTGATCTTTCCTGAATATCACCTCATGATATTCCTGATATTTATCAGAGACAAATACACAGAAGTTTTTATTTTCCTTTCGTCTTTTTAGAGAAGCTAATACATTTTACTTTTTAACTTTAAAAATAAAATTATGGTTCATTTGCTCTATGGTAAACTTGCACCTTTTCAAAAGTTGAGTCCAAAATAATTTTATAGGAATTTTCTCATTTCCTTCAGACACACATACATTTAATCTCTCGTGTTTAAAAACACAACTGTATGAGTAAGAGAAATAATATCGATAAGAGTAATTTTAGATTTAATAGTTTGCCTCAAGAAAACAATCTCTCCCAGGCAATTAAACCTCACCACAACAACTTAGATTCCTTGTCAAGCCAGCTATGTACTTTGCAACCAAAATGCCTAATTATCTGGTAATCCTTGAGCAGAAAGGATGGATTTTCATGATGCACTCTTCTCAGTAAGAAAAGGATTTGAAGAGTTATGTTGTACGGAGTTCTTAGGTAAGAAAGGATAGTATTATCTTGACCTTTGTTTAGTTGAACTTTGAAAGTTCACTTCATTTTGACAGATGAATTTCAAAAGCTGGTAGTTTCAATAAAGATTCATTTCACATACCTGTTATATCAAGCACTGTAGGAGATGACATGTAGTATCTATGGACAGTTTCTAATAGCCGAGCTCCGTGGCCTTCTCCTTGGAATGGAGGCAATATCAGCATTTGGCTATAGGAAGAAGGAAAAAAAAGGTAACTAAAAGCTGTACATTTTACTTTTGAAACTTATGTATAATGATTTGCTATATATATAGGGCTTCATATACAAGTTAACTCTGAGATTCTTTCCCACTTTAGATGCAAAGAACAACATTTTTAAAAACGCAAAGCTAACCAAAATCTTGAATAAAAGAATAACCCCCCCCCTCCCAAATTAAAACCAAAATTAAAACCATTATCAACTATTATTGGGAATTTCAACAGTCCTCTCTTGCTGAAATAAAAGGCAAGGCACGTGTTATGCTTCCAATTACCTTACACGTGGCCGGGTTTTGTCTGGGTACACATAGTAATTATAGACTGTCATATAGCCTACAGTCGCAGAGAGTGTCGCTCCGTCCTTATTATACTTCTCAAATCTGCAGATAAAACAGAAAGCCAAGCAGGTCAATTACAGTCGCGCTCCCATGCAGTGTCCATTTTCTTTTCTATTCTGTGACTGAATTTTCAGTGTCAGCAAGCTACTCTGTGAGGGCCCAATGGGTACACCTGCTATGTTCTGAATGTACAATTCACTTAATTGGTGTGCAGCAACTTGGATAAATCAGACCTCTTTACAGCACTTCACCACACTTGCCTATTATAACGATGAATAGGTGGCAAGTAAAAGAAAACACAGGCAAAGCTCATTTTACTGTTTAAGCCCTACATTCAGAGCTCCAGTGGACAACAGTATTTAATTTGGCTCTATTCTCAAGGTCTTGCAAAACATAATGGATGCAAACTCCAGCTTGATAAACAATAGTTTTTCCTGTCCTGAGAAAAAGTATCATTATACTGTCCCAATAATTGGCCAGCCACAATTAAAATGCAGCCTTTATAGAGGTAATAAGGTCCACTATTGCTTTAGAATTGTACCTACACTAGAAAGTAGTTCCATCTTTCATCATCCACGTCAATAAAGCTCGCTGTTTCAATAAACCACATCAAGAAGGTCTGAAGCCTTTCATGATACTCTCGAAAGCCTGGGCATGTCATGTCAGCCTAGGGAAAAAGCTAGAAGAAGTCAGGTGAAACTCTTCACAGATGTGAAAAGAGCTCTTAGAAGGGTATATTCAGATTCTTTGGCAGGCAACTAGGAGTGCACAAAAAAGTGATATGACCCCCAAATAAGTTTTTTTTTACATATATCACAAGCAATTAACTGAATGTCATTTAAAAGTTATCATGGAAATTTGTCACTTTGGGCAAAACATGTCTTTATTTTTTTTACCTTGTATATTTGATATGTTATGTCTTCACCTGCTTCTTCATTATGCAAAGAATATGTATGCAATAATATCCCAAATGGCTTAAAGTTAACTTCTTTTTCCAGCAAAGATACAAAGTCATCTACACTTCTGCTAAAGCCTGGTGGAATAATTTCTCTAATTTTACTTTCCACATCATCTGCCTGAAAACAAAGAAGGAAAAGAAATGAGAATGTAAGCTCAGTTACTGAAAGGTTAAATGTAAACTAATATTATTCATATCTACCCCTTGAAGGAATCCCTCTAAAATTCATCAGAAAGTTGCTGTATTCTTCCTACTTAGTTTTCACTAAGGAAAACTCTTAGTTCTGCTTTCAAAAAGATGAGAAACAAAAAAGGCCCAATTTATTTATTTATATATACATATATTATATATATACATGTAGGTCTTTGGTTATTCGGGTTTTCTCCCGTGTAAAATTGGAAGTGTCTTGGTGACATTTCGACGAAGTCCCATTTGTCATCTTCAGGCTGGTGTTTTCGGCTTCGTGCTTCTAGGAGCAATGGTACTTCGTCGAAACATCGCCAAGACACTTCCAATTTTACCCTAGCTATTTTGCATTTTGGTTACTGGAGAATAGGGGATTGTAGTAAAATAGAGGAAATGATTTCTTCAAAATACAAACAGAAATAGGTGTCAGCTATTCATAAAAGAAAATGCTGATACTTGGACAATATTTCTTCTTAAAAATAATTAAGAAATCAAACAGGTAGTCCTTGCTTAAGCACCTTTTGTTCAGTGACCATTCAAAATTATGATGGAGCTGAACAGATTTGCGACCCATGCCCAAATTTTATGGCCACTGCATCACATGATTGCAATCTGGGCACTTAGCAACTTGCTTGCACTTAAGGCAGGTTGCCAAGCACCCTGCAATCATGTGATCGCCATGTGAAGCACCATCCCTGCCATCCCTGCTGGCTTCCCCAGAAAGTCAGTGGGGAAGCCAGCAGATAAGATTGCAAGCTGTTGCTGCCTATCAAGAGGACTCCCTCTGGTTTCTGGGGGCTGGCTGAAACAGGTCTGTCACAAAATCCAAGCTTGGATTTCAAGAGGGTTTTTTTTCACCCAGCCTCCTTGAGAGCAATAGCGGGGTCCGACAGATGGGTTTCATCCTGTGCAGAGAAGAGTCTCTTTGCCAAGCAGTGGTTTTACTATCAAGGACACTGGGGACACTAAGGAACTTTTTCACCCAGCCTCTTTTGAGAGTAAGAGTGCTGCCTGCTGGGATCGTTTTCACCTGACACAAGGTGGAGTCTGTCTGCCAAGCAGTTTTGCTTTCAGGAAGACTGGCTGAAAAAGCCCAGGCTGAAATCCAAACAGGATTTTGGCATGGAGCATTTGCAGCACAGGGTGTTTGCACCCAATTCTCAGAAATGAGGCAGCTCCCTCTCATTTGTGGGGCTGGCTCCAAATGCCCAATGCTGCAGATGTTTTGTGACAAAATTATGCTTGGAATTTGAGGCGAAGTTCCCTTCTGCCCACAAAGGGAAAGGGAATTGTACTGCTGGGCTGGAGAAAAGAAGCTTTGATCACAAAGATCTAAGCTTCTTTTCTCCAGTCCAGGTCTTCAGGTCTCTTTTGTGTAAGAATGGGAGCTGCTGCTCTGTCGCTATGTCTGCTTAACAACTGCAATGGTGAGAGCCAGGATTGCTGTCATTGAGCAAGGCGGTCATGTGGGCATTTCACTTAACTATCATAACAACATATGACCTAAATTTCGAGGTCAATTATGGTTGTAAGTCAAGGACTACCTATAAATCAAAGTCATAATAAAAAAAAAACCCAGAGAAAGCATAAATTACAGAAAAGGGATTTTTAAAAATAATAATAATACTGATTTTAAAGAATACATATGCATTTTTATTTTAAGAAAAAATGCAATATTTCCTAATCCCAGTACAGGTAATCCTCAACATATGACCACAATTGAGCCCCAAATTTATATTGCTAAGTGAGACGATTGTTAAGTGAATTTTGCCTCATTTTATGACCTTTCTTGCCACAGTTGTTAAGTGAATCACTGTAATTGTTAAGTTAGTAACAAGATTGTTAAATGAATCTGGCTTTCCCATTTCCTTTGCTTGTCAGAAGATTGCAAAAGGTGATCACATGACCCTGAGACACTGCAACGGTCATAAATATGAACCAGTTGCCAAGCATCTGAATTTTGATCACGTGATCGTGGGGATGCTGCAACAGTCGTGTGAAATATGGTCATGAATCACTTTTTTCAGTATCCTTGTAACTTTGAATGGTCACTAAATGAACTGTTGTAAGTCGAGGCTACCTGTATATTCTTGCTAATATAATGATTATTTACAATAGCGTGACCAATATTTTGAGAGCTTGAGTGCAGCAGTGGGAAGAAAACTAATGGCATGGGATTATGTTGTGCACTTGGCCAGCACTATGTTGTTACTATCCAGTAACAAAAAGAAAATTTAAAAAGACCTACCATCCATATGATTGCTATTTCTGAGCAGTGCATATTCCATCCATTCTTATACCCTTGAAGCTAAGCAAAAGCAACCCAAACAAACTAGGGCTTGACAGCCCCAGTATGAAGATCAACTCAAGAAAAATCCAATCATGCAAATATCAAGAAAGGCCAGAAAATACTATCCTACCTCAAATTACTTTAGCAATTTAATGACTGCAAACAACTATATCTAGAGAACTTATTTTTAAATCTAATTTAACCAAAGGATGAGGAAACAGTACACATTTTATAAGCAAAAACTGAATTAAGAGTAGCCTTATTAAATAGTCAAAGTAAATGTGATAGACTATCAGCTGAGCAGACATCATAATCCTTTTCAGGCCCCCAAACGGCCACTTGATTGAATACATTTACTACTTCTCTTTAGCCATGAATATCTGATGAAGTTTAACAATAATGTATTGCTGCTTCTCACCAGGCAATAAAACTTAATGAATTGGTCTCAACTTAACAAAACCCTTCCCCCTCAATACAACTCCTAAAAGCCTGACATTACATTCAACAAAATGAGCTTACATTCTATTCAAACCATGCTCTGAACAATGAGCCCAGGTTTTTACTTAATGGAGTTTGTCATGAGTTCAGCTGTAATGTTTGTATTGTATCTATTTCCATAAGGATTGACACAAGAACACTTTGTGTTAACTTACTAAGCAGCTCTTTCACACCGTTTACATGCATGATGAGTATTAATTCTAAACCAAGACCTTTGCTACTTAGCATTCAAAACTGGGAAATTAAGATGCTTAGGACAAAATACACTACAAAAGGCTAATACAACACACTGCTAATGGCAGTCCTTTCAACTGTTATCCCCCTAAGTAGAAGCAATGCACCTGCAAATGAATAATACTTCACTATTAGCTATATTTTGGGATGCAGAGTATGGATAGAGTTCAGCCATTGCATACTTCATTCTTAACCCCTTGATGCTATTAACATTCATATATCAACTTTATATTTCTAAGATGCTGTTGTGTAATTAAGGTACACACTTCTACAAATTTGCTGTCATCTTATGGAAATGATTAAAGAAGTCTGAACAAGGCTAAAAGACATTTTTTTCTAAACTAAATCTATGTGTGTAAAAATACAAGAAGGCTGCCTTTATTTAACTGTGCTACAGTTGCCAACGTAACTCTTACAAACTATTATAATAAAAACAGAAGGCCAAGAAATGAAAACCTAGCTATTTTTAATGTAGTATTATTCTGTAATACATTTTTATCCCACCATGTTAAACATCCTATTATTAGGCTCATGAAAGTCAGCACTGATCTAAAAAAAGATAGTTCTTCCTTTTGATTTATATCCCATTTTTCTACTCACAAGGTACTCAAGCCAACTACTGATATAGGTAAAATGCCATAAAAACAAGCCATTGTCAATAACTCAGGCTAATGTTTCTGGTCTTGTGCGCTGGTTAACAGCCTACCATTTTTTTGCATCAACTGAACCAACTGGTCTGGGTTGCCAAAATTGTGGACAAGTAAAAGCAGATTCAATGTAAACACTGAGGCAATGTTTTATTACCATAATTCCACAACTCCCCTCCCCCACATTAAAAAATAAAATAATATATTTACAGCTCAGGGTTTTTTTTCACACATTGTTAGCCTAAATCTATAATCTACCTTTATCTTAATTTTCAATGTCAAAAATATCAAAATATAAACAAAAATATATCTAAATTACTTTGCAATATGGAAAGCATTCCAAGGGCATTCTATCCATCTTCCTAGTTTTGGTACTCAAAAGTAAAAAAAAAGAGTACCAGGACATAAGTAAAAGGATTCCTGAGAAACAGTTTGAATTCTTGAGCCCAACCAACAGTCTACTTTAGTTCTGATGATTAAGAATACCAATATCAAATGCTGAAAAGCAACAATGTTTTGGTCCTGATGAAAAGAGAGCTGTAGCTTCCTACCTTAAACCTAGCATTATCACATTCTCACAATACTCAGAAATGACCAGCAATATAAAATAGAATTTCTTATATTTAGAGCTGCCATGTGGTAATTCTGAAGTGGCCCATGAGATCAGACAAATTATAGTTTTACATCAGTTCTATTTCAAACTACTAGATACAGATAAATACAACCATATAAGTGAGAATTTCTTCAGCGGTTTATACCTGAAGCATGAAATAATGTTAGACTTCTGATGCGTATGCAATTTACTTGTATAAAGGATGACAAATTCATAGAAAGCTTGTTTAAAATACTCATTAAACATTATTCTGAGGACAATAATAAAATATATAAAACGTGCTTTTAAGCAGAAAAAAACTCTTAAATAGCTCTATTCATTTTAGTTACTGTGTTCAGAGTCGTTACAATGGAAAATTATTGTACACATTTCAAATCACATGTTAAAATTAAGCAAAAGAGCCTGATTAAACCACAATCAATACAATGTACATGGATTATATGACAGTGAAGGAATTTGAAAATAAACATGTGAGCATAAAAAGTTGAAGAGAAGCAACCTTAGCGAGTTTAGATGACATCTGAATATTTGATTTTACCTCCACACACTCAAAATTCTCATTAACTTTTGATGTATAATCAATGCGAAAGAGTGTTGACAAGTTACCAGCGACGTAGTACAAAAGAATCTTCAGTCCCTTGTAACCAAAGGCAACCTCACTGTAGGAGAAACACAAATTCAATTATTGAAATACCCGTCTACAGTTGAAAACTAGTCAATTCCTAAGACAATTATCATGCATCACAGTAATCCACAATTTGTTTTAATTAATTATAGTTTCTTGAGCAAGACCATCTTGTAGATGAGAAATTGAATTGTTTGGCCAACTTCTGATTTCATTATTTCAATTTTACTTGTTCTTGCTTTGTACCTCTGGGGATTTATTACTGGATTTGGTAGAGTATAAAAATGAACCAAGAATAACCCTGAAAACCATTAATATTTATATATCATTCCAAGTCACTTGGATGCAATTGACAAATAATTGTTTCAAATTGTGATTTATTCGCCTAAAACAATTCAGCTAGAAACACAGAACAAATCATTGCTGAGATGTGCCAACACAATCACAAAGATATTATTTCTCATTGAAATTATAATTCATTTGCCATGAGTACCCAGAGAAAAATCTTTTAATATTATTTTATAAGCTTCCCTAATGTATTCAGGAATTAGCAACAAAACATGTTATTATGCTGTAATATTATAGCATAAAAATCAATGAAATACACATATAACATATAATACATAAAAACAATTACAAAAATAATAAAAAAAACATAAATAAATGGATGGCAGCAATCAAAGTCAAATATTCCAAATATTCAGGTTAAGCAACTTACAAAAGTTGTAGCAGATTGAAAATAGTCCTGAAGATACTTTAGAGTAGACCCAAGTCCAGGATTTAAAAGGTCAAAAATAGAACTTTAAAGTCAACAGAAAGCCAGTGTGGGGCCTATTACACAGATGTAATGTGATTATAATTGATACAGGCTGGCTAGTAGTTAGGCTGCTGTTGCATTCTGAAGTTTCTGGGTGGTGTTCACAGGCAACCATATATAGCACATTGTATTAATTTAAGCAAGTGAAAATGAGGGTGTAAGCCATATTGCAAGATCCTTAAATTTAGGTAAGATAGCAATTAATGCACCAGCTGAGGTTGGGTGAAAGCCCGATCCAGCAGAATCAAATTGCAAACTTGTATCTTCATGGACAATGATACTGTTAGACAACACTGGAGATGTCAGATCATGTGATGGACAATAATTACCGAGTCTTGTTTAGATTCAACTTCAGGATAATTCATTCATCCAGAAATTCAGTAGTTTCTAATATTGCATCAAAATGCTGACAACACCTCCTGGTATAATTTCTCCACACACAGACACACACACATACCAAAAGGTAGACTTGTTAATTTGTTAATGTTGGTGCTGCTCATTTTTATTTTTATTTTAAACTTAATTTAAAGTAATTGTGTTCTTGTTTACCATGGATGTTTAAATTACATTGAATAATTTTTGTTATTGTTAACTTCTTGGAGTGAAATAGAGTATGTTGGCATAAAAGTTCAAACAATAAAGAAAAATTGAGTGCCATGACATTCATAACAATTAAGCTCTAGCTTTAATCAGATCTAAAGAACCACATACCCAAAAGACATTAAGGTTCATATTTCTAAAATAGCAGCCTATTGTTTCATATGACAAATCTAGTTCTAAACTTTAGGGAACCTCCAAAAGCACTGTAATGTGCAAAGATCTCTCTGAGAAACTGAAACACAAAAAGGACAAGTACAAAAAAATGGAAAGAGGGACACATAACTAAGGCAGAACGTCAGCAGATAGCCCAAATCTGCAAAGATGTCAGGAAAACAAAGGCTCAGAACGAACAAAGACTTGCAACAGAAATCAAGAATAATAAAAAAAAGTTTCTTCCAACATATTAATAACAAGAAAAAAGTCAAGGAAACAATCAGTCCACTAAAGAGAGAAGATGGCAAGGAAATAACAGACAGTAGGGAAAAAGCAGAGCTGCTTAACTCATTCTTTGCATCAATCTTCACACAAAAAGAAATTATAGCCCAATGTACCAAAAAATGTACTGTAAAAGGCAAATTAGAAATAAAAATTAAAATAAGCAAAAAAATGGTAAGAGAACACCTATCTGATCTTGATCAATATAAATCACCAGTACCTGATGGATGGATCCCAGAGTTCTGAAGGAGCTGGCAGATATTATCTCAGAACCACTGTACTATATCTTTAAAAAAATCCAGGAGTACTGGGAAACTGCCAGAGGATTGGAAAAGAGCTGATGTGGTTCCCATCTTCAAAAAAGGAAAGAAAAAAAAACAGGCCTAGGAAACTACAGACCAACCAGCCTAACATGGTTGGTCTGTAGATATTTCCAATATCTACCTGTAGATATTTCCAATATCTACCTGGGTAGATATTGGAAAAAATAATAAAAAAACAGATCTGTTAACATCTAGAAACAAATAAAGTTATAACTAGTAGCCAGCACTAGTTAAAAATAGATCATGCCAAACCAATCTTATTTCATTCTTTGACAAAATGACTAAATTAGTCGACCAGTGAAATGCTGTGGACGTACCATACTTTGACTTCAGCAAGGCATTCGACAAAGTAGACCACAACCTACTTCTTGGTAAATAGACAGCATTACCACTAGATAAATGGCTGACAAATTATAGTCAACTAGTCCTTAATGGTACTACATTTACATGGAGAGAAGTAAGCAGTAGAGTACTACAAGATTCCGTCTTCAATTTCTTCATAAATGACTTAGATGAGGGAATAAAAGATGAACTCATCAAATTTGCAGATGACGCTAAGCTGGCAGGAATAGCCAACATCACAGAAGACAAGCTCAGGATCCAAAAACATTTTGACGGACTTGAACAATGGACCCTATCCAACAACATGAAATTTAATGTGGAGAAAAGCAAGGTTTTACACATAGACAGGAAAAACCAAAGGTACAAATACAGATTAGGTAAAACTTGGCTCAAGAACAGTAACTGTGAGAGAGACCTTGGAGTCCTAGTGGACGATCACTTAAACATGAGTCAGCAGTGTGCATGTGCAGCCAAAAAAGCTAATACAATCCTTGGTTGTATAAACAGAGGCATAGAATCAAAATCACATGAAATATTAGTACCGCTTTATAAATCCTTAGAAAGACCACACCTGGACTACTGCATCCAGTTTTGGTCACCACATTAGAAAAAAGACGTTGAGACTCCGGAAAAAGTGCAAAGAAGAGCAACTAAAATGATTAAGGGCCTGGAGACAAAAACATATGAAGAACAGTTGCAGGAATTGGGTATGGCCAGTCTAGAGAGAAGAAGGACTAGGGTGACATGATAGCAATACTCCAATATTTGAGGGGCTGCCACAAAGAAGAGGGAGTCAAGCTATTTTCCAAAGCGCCTGAAGGCAGGACAAGAAGCAACGGATGGAAACTAATCAAGGAGAGAAGCAACCTAGAATTAAGGAGAAACTTCCTAACAGTGAGGATAATTAACCAGTGGAATAGCTTGCCTTTACACTTTGAAGCTGTTTCATCACTAGAGGTTTTTAAGAAAAGACTGGACAGTCAGCAGTCTGAAATAGTATAGGGTAGTGGTGGCGAACCTATGGCAGGTGTGGCCTATGGCCTCTCTGTGGGCATGCACGCCATCGCCCCAGCACAGAGTTCTCCAGAGTTCGTTACTAGAAAGTCAGAGGGATGCGGAGCCGGGCTGCTCCCCTCTGGGGCAGTGAGTGAGCGAGCGAGTGAGCAAGTGGCGTTCGATGGGACAGTAAGTGAACGAGTGAGTGAGCAAGTGGCATTTGGAAGTGACAGGGCAGTAAGTGAGCGAGCAAGAGGCCTTTGAAAGAGACGGAGTGAGTGGGGGAGAGACCGACAAGGTGCCTTTGAAAGAGACAGAGGAGTGAGTGAGAGCGAGTGGAGGCTTTTGTGAGCAAAGTGTGAGTGAGGGGGGGGGGCTTCTGCGAGCGCAGGGTGAGAGAAAAAGGGAAAAGTGAGGGGGAGAAAGGAAAAAGAAAAGACACTGACTTCTAATTTTCTCTGTTGCAGGAGGAGACGGAAGCATTAACATTGAACCTCAACTTTTTACTTTTCCATAATATTATAAACTAGCCATTTCTATAACAACAAATGGATCTAACCAGTAAAACCCCAAAATTCCTTTTTTTAATCATTATACGTTTTTGACACCTTGCTAAGCACTGGTGGTACTCGAATATTGTTACGTCCTAAAAATAGTACAATTTCTGAAAAGGCTGAAAAGCCCTGGCTTATGTTAATTAAAATTATTCTTCATTTTAAATATTGTATTGTTTTTTCCTGGTTTTTTGCACTACAAATAAGATATGTGCAGTGTGCATAAGAATTCTTTCGGTGCAAGTAAAAAAAACGGACCCAGAAGAAAATATTCAAATATAGACAAATAATTAATTCAGATAGATTTTTTAATAAAAACTTAAAATACATCCCACTTCCCTCTTACAAATTTTAAAAAAGTATCCTCTTGTATATTTTCTTCACTTAAAAACTCGTTCAAATAATTAACCAATTCATCTTTCTTGTTCATTTTATACTTGATTTTATATTGTTCTATAATCATTAATTTTTTTCAAACTATAGTCCAGCCCCCCAATAGTCTGAGGGACAATGAACTGCCCCCCCGTTTAAAAAGTTTGAGGACCCCTGAAATACAGCATGATGCAGCCATCCAACTAGGATACTGCTGGCTTAATAAAACAATAAATGCAATCTTTCACAGTATTACTATTATTGACAGTATTTATATTTCACTTTTCTAACTGCTCCCTCTCCCTAAGGCAGTGGTTCTCAACCTTTTTAATGCCGCGACCCCAACCGGTCGTAAGTCGAGGACTAAACCGGTCGTAAGTTGAGAACTAAACCAGTCGTAAGTCGAGGACTAAACCGGTTGTAAGTCAAGGACTACCCAACCGGTCATAAGTCGAGGACTTTCCCTGCCCGGGAGCGCCACGCATGCGTGGTTCCGCCCCCTGCGCCGGCCGAGGCGTAGCTGGCAGGCGGCAGAGACGGAGCAGGCCTACCACCAGCTGGCCCAGCCCAAGGGAGATAAGGCACCCACCAGAAA